GTAGTTAGCTACATTACAAAAGACAAGAACTAATGTGCATGAAATCCTTTGGTTCTAAACGTTTGTTTCCTATTATTAATTAATAGTATAAATTCTAATTCGATTTCGAACGGTTTATATTCGAATCGAATTCATCTTAATCAACCTGTACTTCCATTATTATGACATAACTCATTGACTAACCGACATGATATATTCCATGTATTTATAGTCTGTGTACTTTCAAGGGGGAATTACATTTTATATGGTGTATTGCCGCATATTGTAATGAAAAATTAATTCATACAGAGTAACTCTAATTTGCGTCACAATATCTGTCAACATCTTATCATGAACAAAAATTTTATCACGGAAAATTTTTATGTTATTACGTCTTAGATTCACTTATTTATTCTAGCACATAGATATTAGTACAAGGAGGCACCAAAAACATATGCGCCACACAAATCTCAACCTATATGTGTGCGGGCTGCGATACTGCCCGGGTGCCTAAACCGAAGCAGGTGGTTTTCCTAGTGGGGCCACTGCCCGAGCTTTCGACCTGAAGGTCTGATCCACACGGCAGTGGAGCATCATAAGGAGATGCAGTCCCATGGTAGCCGGTGACCAACGATTGGTTGACACGCCATTTGTTCCCGCAGGATACTGGAGTCCATGTGCACCATTCGTTTGGGATCCGGTTAAAGCGCCCGACGTTCGCTTTTCGTCCTCTCAATTTAGTAAACAACGCTTTAGAAGATGCTCTTAATAAATTTTTTGACAAAATAATTGGGATTATTTTACTTTATACCATCTGAACACATAATTGTCCTAATTTTTAAAGATAGCATAACAAAGAAAGTAATTCATTATGTTAATTCAAATATTTAAACTAATTGATTGAAGTTAGACATTAACACCGGTGGATGTTAGCTCAATAGTCAGGAGGTTAAGGATTTCCATGCGAGACCGAATGTCCTGGGTCCGAGTGCCGCGTGCGGAATCGTGGGTTTACACTTCTGAGAAGTCGCATATTAGAAAGAAACGGCCGTCCTGTGAATTTATTAGTGGTGTAACATTGATCTGTTCATGTCCTTAATCAAGAGAATGAATATTTGGCTAACTCAACTTATTGTTCGAACAATTAAATACATATTTGAATAGTAAAATATGAATAAATGAATATTTAATTAACTCTATATAATCAAAAAAGGTATCCTTCAATGTAAGACCTAATGTCTTACTGTCATGTCAGCATACCATACTAAAACATCATAAAGCGGTATACTGATTAAAATTTTTATAGGTCAGACAACCGTAATAACAAAAAATCAACGTAATAAATAACAGAATATTTGTTGATACATTATAACTAGGCAGAAAGTAATTGCGCTAAAGATTTACGTGTATGTGTACTATAGTTATTTTTATTTAGAATTTAGTCAACTACATTATTCAGTCATTAATTCGTAATACCTTGAACGCTACTACCAAACGGTAAATAGATTCAGACCGATAGACACCAAATGAGTAAGTTCGCTTAACGTTAATTCTGGCTATCCCGAGACTACTAACGATATACTTTTAACTGAGCTAGTCTTTCAAATGAAGCGCAATGGATCCATCACGTAATTTAGATTAGGTTAACAAAACTATTGAATAGATAACAACTAGTCTACATAAGTTACTCAGTGGCTATGTCAGTCATCATTATGCCTTAAAGATTATTTTGATTTTTCTTCTTATGATTTTATCAGCTAGTGGTTCATCATGGCCAAAGTAACTCGATAAATATCTTAAATGCTCAACTGATGTACCACCTATGTACTCACCCGCTCTAGATAATGTATTTCTGTAAAATAGTCCATGAACACCATCTTATATACAACATGATTCAGATTTATGTTAAACACTATTTGATTTTTCGCTCAAAAAGATAATTAATGTTTGCCTGATATCATTTTACTTACCATCTTGAATTCGGACATCGAGTCTTGAACCAATACAACCGTAATTTAAGTCAATAAAAAGAATGAGTGCAGTTTACCATCGTTTACCAATCATATGTTTTCGTATAATTGTGATGAATATCTTTTACAGTGAATGAATAAAAACGACAAATTCACATCTCTTCAACACAAGATGGATGCGACGTGAAGCACAAATATTAACCACGATTTTCTATATACCGAACGATTTTATTGTCTTGAAATCATTTTTATTGTAGCGATGTACACCATTATCTTCTCACATTTGAAAATTAATAACTGTGCTAAAGATGTGACCTATGGATTCTAGATCAGAAAGTACGAAGATTTCCCAGTCAGCGTAAATCCTGGCACAAATGAGCATTGGTCCAAGTTGCCATATCACAATGGTATGATGAGATGAATGCTAAAGGAGCGAAATACTCATAGCAGTAAAGACAGTGAGAAAATTAAAAGTTGAGAATATATTTCGTAAAGACGAAATGAAAAGGAATGAATGAAGGATTACTGGAACTCAAAATCTAAGGATAAACAGTAAATACATTCGCGAGCAATATCATCGCGAAGACTATAACCAGGTAGTCTGTACCCATCAATATGACTCAGATCAACACCCAATGACTTCATATGCTGATGCTGTTTTAATTTAACCCCCTCTAGCTTACTTCCAACTTACTCCCTGTCGATGTATCATAATTTATTTCAAATCATGATTAGAACCGTATGATGAATTTATTTGAAATAAGTACTGTTTGAGGTTGGGTGGTAATAAAAAAACTAATTAAAGCTACGAACATTGATTAGACGGTAGGATTTTTAGCTGCATATTCTGCGCTCTGATAAACAAGTTAGTCGCGGAAGAACTAAGAATGGGAACTATTTTGTTCTATCCACATTCACACTGGTCGTTAAAAATCAGAAATTGCAGTCAGTGAGTAGAAGAAATCGTAGTAAATTTGACAAATAAATGCTTTCATTGTATTTTCCATTTACCTCATGAAAAACGTTGTTCTTCCCAGTTACTAGATATACTTAAGTAGAAGCGAATGTTATTAGTTTATCCTCCTTAGGATCAAATACCCAAATAATAGTCGTATATCTGTCAATCATGAATTTCGAGAAAAAATTTCCCAATTTTCGAGGGTGACCAGTAACCGACAGTGTCCAACCGAATGGAGGGAGGAATAATTATTACCGACAGCATCAGGTGACAGGCATACTGTATCGTGGATTGACTGAAGTCGGAAATGTACATCATAAATTTCCAACTTAATGATCTGAGGGTATCATGATCCACAAAATACCGAGGTTTGATTTATGTAATTTAGTGAGTACTAGTGGGAAGTAGCAAGCTAGGAGTCAGTTGCTCAGTGCTCTTCGGTTATTGATATTTTTTTCGTCGAACGTATTAGAAATTAATTTGTTAAATTTGATAAGCTTCTTCAGCTGAAATACCAGTCACATTGTTGTATAGGATGTACAGACTGATGATGAACAGTCTAGATGAAAGGAACTAGTTACAAAAATGATCCAATGGATATAAATACAAGACTGTACATGATTTATATCGATGACTTCAGGTTATTGGAAGCCTTTTTCATCACTAGCTAACATCAGACATGAAAACTATTGGAAACTAGGATGTACTCCAATTCAAAATTTCTCAGAATTAGACACCTATAATTCATAAGTGAATGACACACTTTCAAATTTAACAGTGACTACAACACAATTTATCCAATGAGCAAAACTTCATTAGTTCGTTTAATACGCGATAGGCTGATAATACATTTCAAAGCAAATTAACAATTCACACCTGATTATTACTGAATTTGACAAAAGCAAATATTTTAGTTTAGTTTTTGTATTTGGTTCAATGCTCTACGATTTATAAATGTTCTCTCCAGTTGATTACAAACTGCGGTGAAAACCATACTTACTTAGTTACGCTTGTTACCCCTTAATAGTAGAGCATAGGCCATCTACAAGCATTCTCCATCCAACTTTGTCCCGGGCAATCCTCTCCAATTGCTATTCATTCTTTTCATATCTGCTTCCAATTCTTGACGCAGTGTGTTAATCAGCCTTCCTCTTATCCGCTTCCCTTCAGGATTCCAAGTTAGGGTTTGCCTCACGATACATTTTGATGATTGCCGTAATTTATATCCTATCCACTTCCAGTCTTTTCCTAATTTCCTCTTCCTTTTATTCAAACAGTACAAAGTATTTAATTCAATTTGAGATCGATTAGACCATCTTGTTGTTGACATTTTTAAAACACGCGTTCTTCAATCCACTGCTAGCCATATTCCATCTATTCTATAGTACAAAGTATTGTTAATATAAAGTTGTATTGTGTAGTAGTGTTAGTGAATCTCAGTTGTCAACAATTACGTAACTGAAATTCTATCACTACTTATAATAGTAACAATAGGTATATTATAGTAATTCATATTATTAGCATTATTACTATTACTATACAAATAATGATGATGACAGAGGAATGTCAGTCTTTTTGGTCAAAGAAGAATCTAATATCATTATCCATAATTGGATTAAACTGTATCAGTTTACTATACTACCATAACATCGCTTAACAATGATAATACTACCATTAATGTTAATAATAAATGTCAATACGAACCCCATACTAAATAACAGCCACACAGCTGTGATAAAAGATAAGACATAGAAAAGTAACAGTGATTTGTCCCGAAATGATTTATGAAAAGATATGCACAGTGCTTTTTACTTATTAAAAACGTGCTAAAAATATGTGTAATTTTTAAAACAGAGAAAAAAATTAAGGCACTTTGACCAAGCTCAATGAATAAAAAAACAGTGCAAAGAAAATTCCATCTGTGTATGACTCTATAGAAGTAGAAATAATAATTTGATTACCAGAAAGAAAAGTGAGTAAAATAATACACAAAAAAAAGTTATTGAATTTCATTAGGAAAAGATCAATATTAATGAAAGCATATGGTAAACAAATTAATCGGATGTTAGATTATTTTTTCTCTTTTTATTGATTCATGTCTCCCAGTCTGAGCCATCTGAGCCAATATCACCTGGTACAGAATTGGCATCAGATTCTTCTCCACTATCATTACTACACATTCGATTACGTCGCATTTCCATTGCTTGAGCAAGTGATTGTAATAAATCGAATCCTCCTCCACTGGCAGTTGGATTTGCGCCAGTACTACTACTTCCACTATTGTTATTACTAGGTTTCACAGGTGGCCTAGACACACCTTCACCAGGTGTAATCTAAAGTATAAAAAAAGAACAAATACAAATAAGGAAGAAATCATCTGATTATACTAAACATCTATCATGGAACAAAAGCAAAACAATAAAGAAAGACCATAAGTCAATCTATTGGTAAATATTGCCTAATACAGTTTTCATGAAGGCTAATATTAATGAATGGATTAGAAATTCAGCGAAACAAAATCAAAGTTCACTACTTTTACTTCATTTTATTATGCAGAATTCAAGTTGTTTAATGACTGTAATCAATGAATATACTTATTTGAAGCACTGTAATAGAAATAAAGTCCTACACTGTAATAATGTAATGAACGGATGATAACGCAACTATGTCCAAGAATAAATTAGTTCATAGTCAATAATTTTTACACACTATTTACTTAGTTTACACATCTTATAATTTAGAAAAAATGGAAATATGTCTTCTTTCAACTAATATAAAATGGGGATAGTAAAAGGTGTACATTAAATGTAGAAACAGAATCAAGCATGTACACTGTGAAAACTACGTCAATAGGTAGATGTGTGACCACGGTCACAATGTGGGACAAAACACAACCCTAAGCAGCAATATTTCTTTCAATCATGTGTGGAGCTGGAAATTCAATCACAAACAGCTTCCAGACATTAAAATACATATCCTTATCACTTGTACTTACTGTTTAATAAGCTAATATCTACAAATATCAATGAAATCTTATTTTTAAAGAAGTAAGAAACAAATATACTACTTTGTTACGGACGCTATTTAACTCAAGGGCCACATAAAGCTGCTATATGTGAAGTTATCGGGTTCTACGTTGCATATGACCGACTAACTCTATTGATTCGGCAAAGAATATTGACGCCAAAGAGTAATTACTGCTGTAATTTCCCAGAAAACTATCGTAAAGATAAAATAATAAATGTGACCTTGTGTACTTTTGAATTTACGACGATGGAATCTTAAAGAGTGAACAAACTGGGAAGTTGGTTTCGTGTTCACTAAAAGTGAAATATCGGAAATATGAGAATACTACTGTGCAGTAGTCCTTTCAGTATTCATTTCATGAATATAAAAGATGAATTCTGTAAATTCAGTATAGTTGAATATATTAATATTTTACTAATTTGACAGAGGCTATCTTTTCAGTCCTAACAGATGTCAACTAAACAACTAAAGTAACTAGGAAACCTATACTTCATAGTTACATTTACCCATCATTTATATAGTCATAAAGATTTAAGATAAAATAAAAACTGAATTACAAGTGGATTGAATTTGTAAATTTTAAGTTTGATAATATAAAAACAATAGCTTCAAGATTCATATGATAATGTATTTAATTTTATTACATCTAGATGACAAGAAGAACAAACATTCATGAGAACTAATGCACTGAAATAGCTCACTTTAAAGTTTTAGCAACTAATCCAAAAACTGTTAATGAACAGATTTTGTGCTCAAGATTGAAGGTTATGACATTTTTAAAATGTATTTCTGGAATTGCCAAGATAGAAATTTGCATTCCATGAAGCGTATTTGACATAAAGTAGAATAGCAGCGGCAACAATAAACATGTCTCTAATGGAAAGTATTGAGTGCATAAGATTAGAATGGAATTTGTATATCATCCCAGGACATAACAACCGGTGAGGAAGTGTTGGATACAACCTCGGCGAATGATGATACTCGTGTAGTCCTAGTGTACTTTTGTATGAGAACCGGACAGTTGCTAAGCCACGATAGACCTCAGGATGTTAAAGGTAGTGGAGAACTCATTTCTGTAGCTTATCAAAGTACTTTTACAGACCACTTAGAATGTCATTAAATGCAAGTGAAACCTGGTTGACAACTAACTCTTATTCGTTAAAGAAAAGAACTGGAACCCAAGATTCTTATAACTTTAAAAAATATTCATTAACATAATCAAATTGAAATGGTAAGTGAATAAGTAAAAAAAGAAAAGAGTGAATCGATAACAAGTTGTTGCTTCAGGACTGGTCTGCGTTAACACCTGAACTAAGGATAGGGAGTGAAGTAGTCGAACGCGTTGACAACTTCACTTATCTTGGAAGTCTGATCAGCCCTAATGGGTTGGTATCGGACGAAATCTCAGCACTCATTCGAAAAGCTCGCTTGGCTTTTGCCAACTTACGTCACCTATGGCGAAGGCGAGATATCCGTCTATCAATAAAAGGACGAGTATACTGCGCGGCAGTCCGTTCTGTTTTAATTTACGGCAGCGAAACATGGCCATTAAGAGTAGAAGATACGCATAAGCTAATAGTATTTGACCACAGATGCCTTAGAAATATTGCTGGCGTCTGCTGGGATCACCGGGTAAGTAATAGTGAGGTTAGACGCAGGGTATTAGGGAATGATGGTAAATCAATTGATGAGGTTATGAATCTTCATCGACTGAGATGGTTGGGCCACGTGTTACGTATGCCTGAACACCGATTACCACGACGTGCAATGCGATTCGGTATTGGAAATGGTTGGAAGAAAGTTAGGGGCGGCCAAACCAAAACGTGGCATCAGTGCTTGAAGTCACTAACTTCTAGTCTGAGCCATGTTGGTAGATGCAGACTACTTGGTTGGGGTCCGCGTGACTATCGTAACCAATGGTTGGAGACTCTTGGTGACATGGCTCAGAATCGATCACAATGGCGTCGGTGTATACACTCCCTGTCTTCCCTTAAACTAAGAGATTAAAATCGCTTCATATCTTTCTTTCTACGAACCAATTCTTCCTTCTTGTACTATATCTCTATATGCAATCTTTCTCTTATATATTACTACCTTTGACCTAACCACTGCTATGAATCCGGTGTTCATCTTGTTGTGCTGATGCGGTATGGCAACCTGGACCGATGCACATATGTGCCTGGTCCTACGTTGTAGCTGACTGACTGACTGACTGACGATATACAGAAACTCACCTTACGTAGGTTGCTTTTTTGAAAGGACATAATCTGTGATTGAAGATCAACAGTAAGACCTGTCGTAGACTTTGGAGGAGCATTTGATGTGCATTCTTTCTCAGCCCCAGTGGTGGGACATGCTGGAGGAGGTGGTGGAGGAGCAGCTGCGGGACTCGGGAATATGGGTGGGGGAGGTGGTGGCGGTGGAGCAGGGATTTCATAAAGAGGGGGTGCAGGCAGAATAGGTGGTGGTGGTGCGACTGGCTTAGGAGCTACTTGTGGAACAGGTGGTGGGGGTGGGTGTTGTATTGTAACCGACTGGGAAGGTGTAACAGAACCAAGATTTTGTCGACGGGGTGCGGAGGGTGGTGGAGGTGGTGGTGGTGGTCTAGGAGGGGGAACATTAGTAGCTGGTATGTTACGTCTATCACTCTGAGAACCGGTCAGTTGTCGTTGTATCTAAAAATAAAAGAAATATGTATGATAAATTAGGCATAAGTTAAAACAAGTATATATTCCTAGTGACTGAAAAGGGTGCTATGAAATGCATACAAAAATTATTATGGAATATTTTCAGACCATATTACTGATAGACTGGATATTAATGGATTTAGCAACAATCACAATAAATTGTGCACAACTATAGTCATCATTTATCACAGATACGAAAGTATACGACTAAGTAGCACCTAGCTAATTTGTTGGACAAATAAAATAGAACAAAGATATATGAAATTTACTTAAGTTATATCCCAATGCAACTAACTAACACAGACAAAGATGAGCCAAACTGAATGCAATATAGATAGAATGTTAGCTCCGTAAATAAGTTCAAAGCTTAAGTTAAGCTATATGTGCATCATCAGAAGACAATTTACTTGAACAATAATAATATTTAATTTGTTGCAATATATTGAGCTATAAATCATTTTTCTAGTTATTTTAAACCAACTGATATAAGAGTTGTATATCTCTTAAATTCGTAGGTGGTGTATTACCTTCAGACTATTTTGCTTGACTAAATGCTGTAAAACTGTCTAAGGATTTGAGGGCGATGACATCGTTATTCCAGTCCCAAATAAATGCCCGCAATCCATATATATCCTCAGAAATCTGCTGCAATTAGTCATTAAGCGTAGTTTTCGGCAATTGGTTTACTTGAATTTAATTATCTTCTTGAATGTGAAGTCACCGTGAATGATAACTTCTTTACTGTAATCCAGAGTTAGGATAACCGTTATAACAGAACGGATATTATAAAAGTTGGAAGTGGGTTTTTCGAATTATTATTATTATGAATTTATGGGATATTTATTAAGCAACCGGATTAACGTATTAACTACTGTTAAACAACTACCCATTTTAATATGTAGTCAGTATGTTATTTACAGTCTCCACTTCCCACAGCCAGTTTTGGATTGTTCATGAATAATTGTTATTTTTCACTTCATAGTGCAATGTGGTTTTAAATTCAATGTTAGTGAAGGCTGATTACCGGCATCTGAACTGAAGGGCAGTGTAGAGAGGGAAGCTACAGGACTGTGGATCAACAAGGACACAGAAGTTGAATCAAGGTTACTAGTCCTAGTTGAACACAATAAATCCGAGATGCTAGGTCATAGAAATCGGGGTTCTGATTGGTGGTTTGTTACGCGTTATTAAACAGCGAACATAGGTCATAACAATAACCTATAATGGATGAGACAATTTTTATTCCGTAGTTTAGACTATTCATTGATATAAGTTCAGATAAAACACTGACTTCTTCATAGTTTTCATTGTTGTGATACTGGATTTTGATAAACAATATTTATTCAGATAAACTTAAATTAACTTTCCAGTTATTAATGGTATTTACTTAATCACTTGAAAGTAGATCATGGTAAGAGACTAACACATAAGCTGGAGATAATCAATGAAAAACGTTTAAAAATTTATAATAAAAACGTATCTAGCATGATATCGGTAGTATTTGGATTTCATGATAAGTAAATTTATAGTTGGAGTTACTGAGTTTAAACATGCCAATTTTTTGATGTTAACTCTAGTCTAGCGAAACCGATCACATAAACAATCATGTAATGTATGTTCATGTAACGGTTCCTCATAATATTTTAGAGGAATTTATAAATAACCATAACTTAAGTGCAAAAAAAAAACACTTGTAGATTATATGATTAAATTCAATACACTGTGCGAAGCGAATACTTTATTTTGATTATCAGTTACCTTAAATCATGGAAACGACGCTCTTCAATAGAGTCAGTAATGTATTCGCTCAATGTTACAGACGATTAACATTATTAACACAATTAAATGATTCATATGCTCACTCACACTTAACGTTTTCTGTATACTGTATGCTTAGTCGTCTTGCAATGACCAGTCAAACAAATAGAAAATTAGTGATAATTATTATGGACAGTAAACATTTTTTTCAATTACACAGTTGTTTGGTGTTTTGAATAAATGTTATCATAATATCAAAAAATATAGGTATATGGAATCATTAAGATGGAAGAGGTAAGAGAATAGCAGTTGATACAACCAGTTTAATCTCAGTAAAATGAAATATATACACTCAAAGTGTCCTGGTCAAATATGCAGTTTATGAAAATTTACATAAATGTACACGTTTTTTCGATAAATCAGTAACTAAGTTATGTTAATCATCTAGTAATAATATGTATAATAAATAGATAAACAAAGAACGACGTAGAAACTTGGACGAAACTGAACAGGTTCACAATATACATAGTGAATATGATAAAATGAATATAAAAGGCTGGTGGAATTTACTAGAATAAGGTATCTAAAATACATTAAAATAGTTTATTTATGTAGGTGTATAACCTATGGGTTTCTTACTAAAATTTCTTGACTTTTTATTAATCAATCAGTTCGATGACGTAAAAACTGCCACAAATGCACATCAATCCATGTTACCACATGATCAATTATCTTCTGATTTATTGCATTGTCTTAACTCATTAACACGTTAGCGCTGTTGATACGAACCATTTTGTAGGGAAATTTATAAGTAGGTACACTGAATTTTATATATGGAGTTTTATCAAGTAAAGCAGATTCACATAATAACAATATACAACAATTCAAACAAATGCAATTTAGACCTGTGTATGAAGTAGGAATAAAAGCAATATTAAATCCCGTCGAGTGAACTACGTTCTGAATATTAGTATTATTATTAGACTAAGATGAAAAGAGTCGCACACAAGGTTATTAGAATTTATAATAGATCCTCAGTTTAGTTTGCCGATTATTCTAGTACCTACTTATCTAAAATTGAAAATAAAACACGGTGAATTGTATATAGATGTTTCTACTTTTATTTGACAATCGGTAACTCACATACAAATGTATGTACGCAGCTTTTATCCGTACATTTTATGTGAGGGTTACTGATAATACTCAGCTGTCTAAACGGTAGGTACGATGCGATTAGAACCTCGAACTTAATGGTTGAAAATCAAGTTAAAAAGATCAACCAGTCTGATCAATAAATAATTTGATACGGTCTACACTACGTAAGTGTTTAAGTATTTGGTATTTTCATAGTTATCCCTGTAGAATTAAAGTGTATTGATTTTAAAAGAAATAAACTTAAATCTAGCTAGCACTGTAGATAGGGGTGCTACTAATCGTACATACAAAAAATGGACACGTACATGATTTGAGAACGATAATAACCAATAAAGTGTTCATATTTTTTAGAACTAATCATCACAGATAGACATGAATTCATACCATGATGTAAACACATATATATATGGCTCCAGCCGTTTCCTATTGATTAAATTTCGTAAAGCTAAATAGTTGCAGTTGAGGACTTAGTTAATGATTCGTTTAACTGTCAAAACATTTATTCGATTTTCTACCATTGAGTTATAAATTTGAAATCTGCTTCAGCTAATTTGGATTAAACAGCCATATAACACTACGAACGTTTACACTTACACAGAACGTGTAGCACTAAGCTGAGTGCATGAAAATGTAATTGATCGCCAGATTCTAATTATTCAGTAAACTACAGTCATTTTGCAAAATAAGAATAAGATTTTAGTAACAATAATGTGATTCATTTGTACTTTTTTTCTGTGATTTAACACATCTCAGTGATTTTAATCTTGTCGTCTATAAGACAAAATAAAAAATCAGTCATTTAACTATAAAATTTGATTTGAACAAGTTGGCAAAGTCACATGAACATAACACTTACATGAATAAGTGTTCACTGTAAATCAATATGTAAAGACGTTGATCACTACTGTAATATTCTATGCGGTAACAAATAGGTTTTATAAAGTTTTTTTCAGGATGTAGAGATAACAAATTTTCGAAAATTCTCAGGTAACGAGAATAATAGAAAACTGAATCATCCTGCAGTGGAACAGATCTCATACATATATCTAATATTTTCGAAAGAATTCTTTCTTGATAAACTTCTAGACCATTAACCCGACATATATATGATCCTATAAAAACACGGTACTTTTAACCTGAATCGATAAATCTCAGAAATGATGTATACAAAACACGATCAATATATATCATCATCATTTACCTCTTCCAAACCACCATGTTCACGGGCGAAATTGTAAACAAACGTTCGTTCGCTTGGTATATTCATAGCATCTTCACGTCCAATAGCACGCAGTATGTTGCGCATGATTGCGCTTTCTTGTGAAGATATATCAAATGTCTTGGCTTCTCTGTCATAACCAACATGTTCAATATGACGAAAATTTGAAGGATTACTGATATCTTTTGATGTAAGCTTCTGCTATATAAAAATATATACATGGACATGAATGAGAACTATAATAATAATAACAATTACTAATCAAGCAAAAATAAACAATTGTACATTGAATATTCTTCAAATAGTTCTAAAGAAATCATAAGCAAACGAATAAATAACAAATAATGGTCAATCATTTCACATCCCCTATTGACTAATGAGTCAGTAAGGTTGAGCGTTTAGTTTTGATTTACTGGGCTGAATTGAAAACAGAGTAATGGTAAAATTTTTTGGTGTTTAAAACAATACATCCAGAGCTTGAGTTTTAACGGATAAATACAACATATAGTGACGCGTTGCATCCAATTTATTGTTCGACGATGATGCGTAGTGTCGCAATTTAGTCTGTACACGACCGATCCTTGCGGAATCCAGCTCGTTGGTCTCGAAATCGGGCGTCTACTGCGTCTTTCATCCGGTTCAGCAACACTCTGTTGAAAACTTTTCCTGGTAATGACAGGTGTTGACAGTAATGTGATGCTTCTGTAGTTCTGACATTTGCTCGGACCTCCTTTCTTTGGTATCTTGATGAGGTGTCCTTCTTTCCAGTCCATCGGCACTTGTTCTTCCTCCAAATCTTCTTGAATAGAGTGTGAAGCGTGTTTGCAGTTACTTCGATGTCTGACTTCAATGCTTCAGCTGGTATATTGTTAAGCCCTGCTGCTTCCCCACTCTTGACTCGTCTGATGGACATCCCGATTTCTTCGATCTTTATTGGAGTGGCATCCATAGGAAGGTCTCTGTGTGTTGCTTTGATGTCCGGTGGATTCAATGGAGCTGGTCAATTCAAGATTTCCTCAAAATGTTCTACCCATCTGTTCTTCTGTTCTTGAATCTCCGTGATTGACTTCCCTTCTTTTTCCTTTACTGATCTCTCTAGTTTACCATATCTGCCTGCTAGTTTCTTCGTTGTATCATATATATTTGATAAACTGTTAATAACTATGAAATCGCACCATAATTTAATTGGATCGTCATGCACCCCATTTCTAACCCAGTTCCATTTAAGACAGTATAACGATGTTATAAGCTGTTGAATGACTTTAAACAATTATCAAAATTTACTGTTTCAATCAATTACCTGATTTTGTCCTTTCATATACACTTTTTTATGCCAACAGAACTAATTGATGATTGATTAATGTCAAATTAAGCATTGAAATACTGATTTTAGCGAATAACTAATTTCTTGTAAAGAGTACCAAGCTGTTTTATACTACTTATGTCAGATGATTGAATTTTTGCTTATTATCGCTATTAATTTAATTGTTCTATGCTATAAGTGATTCACTAGAGAACAATAATTACTTATCAAAATTTCGAATGACATTCCTCTTAAGAATGTGACTTTTCTTACATACACAAACGTATATATGCAAAGAACTGCTTGTATTACATAAATAAAGTATATATTCTTTTTTACTCATAGAAATGTTCTTTTCACAAAAACCAAGTTATACCCCAAGCAATAAAATTATTCAAATAATAACTCTAGGAATGCGATGACTCAGTAAATTTAAGAAGCAAGCAAGTAGTCAATTATTAGTGTAATATCATGTTATAGGTTATTGTTTAACTGATTTACAACGAATGTCAGAATTTTAATTTTAAGCAAATCTACTCAAACTTATGCATAGATTGAAGACATTCAAGCTGAACGAAATCATAAATGAGAATATGCCTCTATACATAACAAAATTTATAATGAAAAAAGACAAAAATACATCAATGTGAGTGAATTAGTCTGGTGAATTAGAACTTCAAAATCTCAATGTCCTATATTTACTTATATTTAAGCACATGAATATTAGTACAGAGGGGTACCAAAATGCGTATGAACCAAGCTTCATTCTATTTGTGTGAAGGATGAGATACTACCTAGTCGCCCAAACCGAAGCAGATGGATTTCTTAGGGGGCCACACCTGCGGTCTTTGACCTAGAAGTCTAATCCACAAGGCAGAGGAACAACGTAATAAGATCCAGTCCCGTATTAACCGGTAACCAACAATAGATTCATACGCCATTTGTTTCCATAGGATCCTGGAGCCCATGTGCATCATTGGTTGGGAAACAGGGTTTTCCAACTCCTCTAGGTGCATCCCCCGTACCCATCAACCCGGTTAGGACGACGGACATTCGCTTTTCGTGCTCTCAATTTCGTAAACAACACCCCCGCAACGAGAATGCAGTGAGTAGGACTTCCCTGATAGTGGTTGTATACGCGCGACCATGTGAGAGTATTTCGAGATGAAGAGAGAACTCTCCCCACCCTCGACCGTACCAGGGCATTTGATACTATTCATACATAATTATCAATTTAAGCAAAATTCAATTCCACTTGTAACTAAATTAGAAAAATTTATATGCATTGGATTTTTCATTATTACATATGATCTATGATGTGATAGAAAAAAATAAGTTTTATAACTAATATACTAATTTTTACAAGTTTTCAGCGACAATGTAGGCTTAAAAAATATTCGATTGCACTTACGTCCAAAAGATGGTCCAATAAACCAAGTTAACAACTTGGATGGTAATAAAATTAAAGATGTTAAAAATATTCTAAAAGTATTTTACATTGACGGCGATTATGGATTAGATCAGATTGTATAAGTTTAATAACTAGATGTAAAACAGTAGTGTAGTGCGAACAGACATAAGTAGTATGTAGCAGGAATTGGAAGTGAAACGCTTACCAGTAAAAGACTGAGATTAAGAAAAGAGGGAGGAAAACAGAGAGTAATCGGAATAACAACAGGATTTGAAGAAGGATGTAACATGTAAAGGATAACTTAAGGAAGATATGCGAATGATGCATTTGATTTACGGTTTTTCATATTTTGCAAAGGCAGTGTTTGATTTTGTATAAAACAATAAATTGGTTTATCGTACCTAAGTTTTTGTTCACTACAATAGGACTTGAATAATTTAGTATTTTTCTCTTAAAAAAAATAGTTGCAATATTATTAAACTTAATTAAGCTTAATACGTTAGTACATTTTACAAAACAAATAAGTGTGGTTGCATATAATTGCCAATAAATTAATAAAACTAAGAAATATATAGATTGCATAATTATTAAAGTTGATAAAATACACTAGTCATTCTTATATTCTAGTGTTTCATTAAAAAAAACTAATTATAGAAACAGTCCTTTTGTAATGAACAAAAACATAGGTGGGGACAACCAAGTGTATTTTAACACAAAATTACAGAGTTATTTGGTAAAATGTGAAAACCACACGTTCAATCCTTCATTTGCAAAATGTCCATTTCTTGTTCCTTCATTTTCATACCAATTACTCTCCGTCCCCTTTCTCTTCTATTCGATCTTCCCAACCTTCTGCTCCCAAGCCTTTCACTTTTGACTGGTGTTACATACTACTTATGTCTATCAGCATAAGTAACATACACCACACTTTAAATATCTTTTTTAATTACCAATCATCACAAAAATAACTTCTATTCATAGAAATTCAATTAAAATTCCGATTTAATTTATAATAATTTAAAGTTATACAGATTCATGATAAAACGTTTTTGACAAGTGTGAATCGATGCAATAAGATAACTGACTTGCAACCATTGAGTAGTCGATTGAAGCTAAGTTATATTTAGTATTATTTTGTAAAATTCGATAATATATCTGGTACTTGGATGAATAAATATAATTCAAAAATCTGTACATCAACGTTAAGTCAAGATCGCCACACAAAATTCAATTTCAAATTGGGTTTATTTTTACAAATGACTAAGTATCTCATGTACTAGGATAGTAACAAGTGTAAAAAAAATTAGCAAAACGAGAATTACTCCGCTGGTAATGATAATCAACAATGAGATGGTAATAATTGTGATATTGTAAACAACCCATAAAATACTATTAAATATCTATCTTGGTACGAATTTCGATTCTCCCAATTCTGTTATTATCCCAATTGTTCTCTGGTTCCCTTCATGTTCTTTTCAATCCAATCTCCTGCTGGAAGGCATTCCACTCCCGATTGCTGCTACAAACTACTTATACCTGTTAGCACACCACACTCTGTCGCTGCTGAGATTCGAACCTCGGTCAGTGCAGTATACACCACAATACGACTAAGTGCTCATAATCTTTTCGAGGGATAATATATTAACTGAATCCATTTAGGGATGGTTTCAAGACTAAAGTTAAAAGCAAACAGCGGACACTTAACTGATAAAGCGAGTTCGCGTACTCGAAGTCAATCTAGCGGAGTTGATAAACCATTGGTACATAAAGACTACAGAATACTACATAAACAGACTGGATGTGAACACAATTCGATCACCCGTTACAGTGAGAATTTATATGCCGACGTTGACTGACTGCCAAGAGGATACGACCTTTGAAGTAAAGATTGATAGAGTTCCTACGAGAAAACCATCTGTGTTGATTGCGTGCTCAGGGGACGTCAGATTTCTCTGATATATCGAAGAGAATATCGACAAATTAATGACTTTGGAACTGTTTTATGGATTGATAATACATTTTTTATTGTATAATTATTAAATATCTGGATTATTACATTACTAAATTCCCTTTATTTTACGCTTAAGTTGAATTTATCGACTATTAAGATAAGTTTGACCATTCCTCAATTTCGATAATGCAATGTGAAGATGAAGGTTATCAGAATTGTGATACATTTTCGCAATACATTTCGAACAATACATCCTTCATTGTATTGTCCGTTCATAAAAAGGATACACTTTCTCTTGGTTTTAATTTTTCTGTCCCTACAACACAAATCTCTGAATTGACAATCAATGCCCAATTCGAAAACCCCTATGATCAATTGAGTACTTTAGTCCCTTCATTCTTGGAGAAGCAAACTTGGTTTGAAGCTAAACTAGTGGGTATAGCGAATCAGTTTCATTCTTCTGGACCAAAGCAGAGAAGTGTATTAACTTCTCAGCACTTCAAATCATTAAAAGAATTGCGAAATAATACCGATATTGTCATAGTTAAGCCCGATAAAGAAGCTGGTGTTGTTATTATAAGTCCGATTACAAAAATAAAATGGAATCCATTCTCAGTCATAAAAGCAATTTTATGGCTGATGTTGACTCCGATGGATCACGTAAATTAGGAAAGTAAACTCGAATCTAATGAATTTGTTAAACATGAATGCTATTAACAAGAATGAGTTTAATTTGTTGGAACCTATGAGTTCGGTGTATCTTAATTTATATGGATTACCAAAAATTCATAATCCTAATACCCCCTTACGACCAATTCTATCAGTGTCGGTCACCTACACACAACCTTGCAAAATGGCTTACAAAAGTATTAAACCCTATCCAAAATCAATTTTGTAAGTATTTCTTGATTGACTCATTTGGATTAATTAAGTACTTGAAGGACATGAATATAAAAACTATTGATATTTTATGTGACTATATCTCACTGAATAACCTTGCATTGTCATTTCCTGTTAAAAGTCTTAAAGATTTATTATTATTGTGTACTGACAATGTAAAATTCACTTTTGAGGATGAGTACTTTCGACAAATCGATGGCGTAGTTATGGGTAGCCCTTTAAGACCCCGAGACATTTGGTTGAAACGGGTTATAAGGCTGATATCAAGTCGGCGTTTGTAGTGTTGTACAAAAGCCTTCAAGGACGTATACTGACTATACATGACTATACGAAAACTGAAACCCCCTTTATGTGTTCAAAAACAATTTGTTCTTAACCTACCCTGGTACTACTGATAATGTTGAAAATAAAGAGCCAAGTAAAAAATTTTCAAGTTGCCTCTGTTAATGCTCAATAGCAACTTTAATAAATGCGTATGAATACTATTTTATGGTTAAATTAGCTACAGCAGGTGACTACTCAACTGAGTATACACTATAAGCAAGTGAATGAAGTAAAATTCACACAAAAAATTTCAACGACAATTACGAAATTTCCTAGCTATGAAGATAGGAGGCTGAAAATAAAACATGTTATAACGAAAGTCATTCATCAATTAAGTACTAACACAAATTAATTGCTGACAAAAGTATTGAATATTTGACATAACAATCGATATCTTCACTTGAATGTATTTTAATATTCAAAAGCTATTTAAGAATATTAGGAGTTAGTCAGCAGCATGGAAACAAAAAACAAGCCATAGAAATACAGGATAATAAACAGGGACATACAATGAATGTTGAATCATACAAGATGTGAACTCACCGAGTTACTTTCAAGAGAAAATAGGTTGGTTAGTATCTAAAATTTATTGGCAGAGTACAACGCAAATATCAAAAGTGAAAACATCTGAGTAAGATATGTAAATACGAGTTACAATGATCAATAAAGCTTTTCCTGAAAATATAGATGATATTCAAGTTAATTAGACTGATTCATCACAAACAAACCGTTAAAATATTCAGGGAGACAAGAGAGTTAATTAATCAACTACAAAAACCCCTAATTAATATTACTGTCATTACTACTAGTAACCGATTCAGTGTGGTTCGGCATCGAACAAGATTAAAAGAGAACATAAACATAAAAATAATACATATGTAATATCCCAGTCGGCGGAAAGACTAAATTTTTTGACGTTTTGTGACTCAGTGTAAGCCACTTCTTCAGAGAACAAATAAACAAATTAAATTAACCCAAGTTTAAATAGTAGTTAGATTATGTTAGGTTAATGATAAGTAGTTTACTGATAGAAATAATAATAATGATCATGATTGGATAGTAAAATGAAGTCAAAAATTCAATTCCCACTTAAAAATGCACCAAAAATGTATTGACCCTAAGTCAAATAAAAACTAGTTTGTCATAAATTTGTAGAACCTACCCCTAAATTGAATACAGAACGAGTTAAATGACAAATGCTAGCAAACAACTAATCCGAAAAGTCTAAAATTTGGTAATAAACACATGTAGACCAACTATACACATAAACAGCATACCTTTTTCCCTTTAGATTTTGTTTTGCCCCTTATAGACGTAACTCCTTGATCAGACAATTTTGTCGGATTTAAACTATAGATGCCAGCTTGCACGATTGGTTGAGAACCAACAGTATGTAGATTCGATGAAGGCTTCTCAATAGCAGCTGCACGCATAGACCTTAAACGACCATTTACTGTATGTGCAAAATGTTTAGCCTCCTCAAGAGATGCGAATGCAAGTCCAACTGGCCCATCATCTGACTGCAATACGTGAAAGCATTTTAGTTCCTCAGTATAATCCATTTCCAAAAATAATCTTTGCTCTAAGAGAGGAATTCTCCTCTATAAATATAGTTTGCATTGAAAACGAAGAAATGAGAGTTGACTTACAATCACATCGTATATTCTGATGAAATAATCCTTATAATTTTTGTCCTTGATACAACATACAACGCCACAACCTTTAAGCACCCAATTCGATTCATTTTCACCTTTGAAATAGCGTACCACAGCGGAAGCTAATGAATCGCAACCAGTTCCAAACAATGAATATAATACGGAATTCTCCTCGTTAGTTAGTAGAACCGAAGTTCCACCTACTGGAGCGGACTATCAAAGGTCAAAAGCAAATGTGTAGAATCAGAAAACGCGAAAACTGTATCTGAGTACGCCTTTTAAAGGGGAGTAAAACGAGAACGTCCCAGCCAAACAAAGAAATAGACAGGTTATGGTTCATAACAATACTTCCACAAGTAAAGCATCAGAAAAATGATTCTGCAGTACAGTTTTGTTTCGTCAAAATCCATGGTGACAGTATACTACTAACGATCAAGATTACCGTTAACGTGATAGGATTGGACTAAAGAATATTCCGTGCAGGACTGTGTTTGGGTATGTTGATTGCCCATTTCTTAATCAATCAGTCCAAACGGATACTTGGAGAAGACTCTAGAATCCTCTTGTGTAAAATTCTAGTTATACTAACGTTCGTCTTATAATTCCTACTGACATTCAGCCTTGTTTGGTTCGGATATAATTACGTTCTTGTTCAGCTGGGTCGTAATGAGACCATAAAAATCACCCAAGGTAACTCCCGGATCGAGGACACTTCCTTAGCCCGTTTTATACATCTTAGAGATATGGGACTATGAGACCGATGCACAAATGGATACAGTGATTTTAAGTGTACGAAGTCCTTACTCCTCAATAACAAATATGACGAGTCGTTAAGTGCCTAAAATGAAATTAAAATGGATGCCGCTAAATATGAGCTGAAGCGATCAAAAGCACCAGTGTTATTCACTCACTTCCAGAAAAGAAACCATGTGTGAGGTTAGTTTTTACACAAAAGTTGCTTATACCAGTAATTTGGTAGATGAGTCAAAAACAATACAACATATTGATCTACAATTTTAAACCTTTCAAAACATCCAAGACTTTTTACAATCAAAATTTGGTAAAGTTTGCTAATATAACGCCTAACTTTTCTACAAAAAGATCCAAAATAAACATGGTATTTTAGAAGTCTACTCAATTTTACGACTGAGTGCACATGGTAAGCACAGATCTTTATTGACATGACGGAGAGTAGTGAAATTCAACCTGTAAATAGATGTCGTTTTCACAAAATTTACGCAAAAATAAAAGATAATAGACAAAAACACTAAACAAAGTTGTATAACTAAGAACACATGTTAGAAGTACATTAGGGTAAGCAATGAAAACTCCAGCGAATCAAGTTAGGGTTTGAGGCGAAATGAACAACCAGTAACCTCGGTTATAGTAAGTCTGAGAAGCAGTAAATCCATAAACACAGGTTTTATAATAATGATAGTTCACAAACAGATGATAAAGTAAAACAAGCGTACAGTGTACAAATTACGTAAATATTTACGCTTGGATGGGTAATCGCCAAACTGACACGGTTGAACTTGCAAGTAATACGACGGAAATATTTACTGAAGGCACCCTGTGTTATATTCAATAAATATTTAAGTTATGAGAGTCACCAACCGATTTCGCATCTTCTGTAGCACATTTTATCGTCTACGAATTGCAATTCATCAGAGCTGTAACTACTAGTGGCTTCTGATTAGCGTGACTTGCTACTACACCCAGTGACATATATACTCAAGCCACTTTAAATCAGGAATATCAAAACAACAAGAAACCTGAGGCATATTAAATCGATTTTGTGCATTGATAGAGAAGTAAGTGTGTAGAGTACGATGTAAACGTACTCGCTTGGGTTTGGTACATACTAAAAAAAACTTGAAAACTGGCCTGTGATAACAATGTTGGCCATTGTGATTCAACAAGTGGACACTAAGTACTTAGTCAACACAACAGTACAGTACGAAGAAAACCGACTCAGTGACCTGACTGAAATTGTAGTATACACAAAAAGAGGTCAGTTTTGAGTTCTGGTAGATTGTTTAATTTGAAACACTTTATTTAGGTATTTTCTAAACAAAATAATCTTAGAACAATTGATGACAGAGTAGAGACCGTCAGAGGGTTACGGTATGCTTGTTCGAATATAGAAAGACATGGGGCCAGTGAAGTTACTGCCAACATGTCTTCAGGTCATCTAGGATTCCAGGTTTATCCTTTGCCCAAGAAACGAAGGTAGAGTGTATTGTCATGGCGGTAAGCTCAAACAAATATATATCCGGCGATTGCTGGAGCTATTATGGTCATTAAACCGTGACTGAAACATGTATGTACACATATATATTTCCGAATTACATACATGTGCACTAACGTTATACGATACTGAGGGACTGGGGAACAAGCATTTGCAATTTGGCTCAAACCTCTCCAGCCTGAGGGTACTATCAATCGATAAGCACCATGCTAAATATAAACCATAGTGACAAACTACAAACCCTGAGCGAAACCAGCTTTGTCCACATCAAGAATGATAATGGGAGCATCAGAGGATTAGAATAGTATAAGTGAACTCATTTATAATTTCACCTAAATCCTAAATTATCTGTGCTAAAACCCCACCAGATACAACCAGCGCAACGAGGATCCAGACTTTAGAGACCATTAAATCATTAGAACTAGAAATTAGCACAAACAGTATAAAGTAAAGTAAATCCTACAAAGACATAAGAAAAGATCATACCGTCCGCATTTCTTTGAAAGCGCGCTTTCCCGTGTCGTAGCACTCATACTTTTACTTCACCTGTTGAATAAATTCCACGCATTAACACAATGTACCCTGGTTCAGTTAATATAAATTTATTAAAAGACTACAAAAAGTGAAGAATCCTTAAATACTTTGGTTTAAGGATATCTAAGACCACTTATAATCAATGTGTTCGAAACATGCTGAAGTTAACCGTTTGATTATTTTGCGACCATCTCTTAGTGTTAAGGCACTGTTCCGGCTCTTTGGTGCCGTCGAATGTAAGTAGTCCAGCCACTCATTCGGCGTAATAATGAGTAGTGATGCTGATCATCCTGATCTCCAAATTGATTCAGACTAGTCCGATAATTTTGATGTCGTGTGCCGATAATTAGTTCCAGAAAGACTTTACTAGTGCATATCAGTCACGGTAGTAACCACCAACACACACATAGTGAAAAAACACATCCATATTTACAAAAACAAAAATGCGTTGGAGTAACTGTAATCCAAAACCTGAAAACAACCGACCACAGAAGCTTAGTAACAGTTAAAAAATTTCGTGTTTTATGGCACTTTTAAAGAGACTTCTGATGCTTTGACGATTTTGTGCATCGTACTTTACTCACCAACTATGTGAGACCACTAAAACAAATCTTCAGAAAAGTATTCAGTCTATGCCTCAATAACGATGTTGAAAACTTGAGCATGTTCGCCCAGTGATTACAAAATTAGTGACAAGGCTTTGAAACATCTAACAAACGTCATCAGCATCTAAACATCATTTGACTGAACAGACCTCGGTGCTGAAAGTTCTTATGATCTCTAGAATTCAGCCAGTAGATGCAGTCAGTTCGTCTACAGCGTTGTTTTGATGTTGAGGCAAGCACTACCTGCACCTGTTGTGGTATTTCAGACAAGGAGATCTGTCTAAACAGGCCTATGCCCAAGGTTCGTTTGCCAATGACCTCAAGCATCCGTAACAACGTGTCCGCTGCTGAGCCATGTTGAAGACCTGATCTATTTGTTGTCGGTCGGTTAGATTCTCACGCTTAAAAATAGCTTTTCGAGTTATGTGAAGTTCTGAGACATCGCTAGTAAACATACCAGGTATGACATACCTGTTAAAATCGTGAGGCAGCGCCTTCACTACTGCAAGGAAATGTACACGTGTTCTGTCATGCCGTGTTCATGGAAGTTAGCTTCTGAGTTGCAGAACCAAGCTTCGATGTTGTCGGTCAAAAACGGCATTAGCTGAGAGTGGCGAAAGGGTCTTGATATTAAATACCTTAGGATCAGTTCGGTCACTGTAAGATCTATTTTGAATGTTTTGTGTGTGTGTGAAAATCCCTCCATGTATATACTTGCACTTTGTTCCTATTGATTCCTTTAGTTGCACATTTTGTTAGTCGTTTTGATTCCATTTGAGTCGGTAATATTTGTATTCTATTATAGTTTTTACTTTTCTTATGCATTCACTAAGTTTCCATGTTTCTTCCTGAACTGCATTTATGTTGTTTTACTTGACACCTAGTCTTGGCGGCAGCCATATTGGTTTGTTCCTCCTTTCGATTGTGTTGCTTGTATTGGCTGGAATTGTGCATTTTTGATTGTGAATTGAGGCACTCTTCCAGAATTGGAAACACTCTGTGTTATAAAGCAACCAAATATTATCTTAAAAACGAATCTGTGCGTGATCTATCCAGACAGGATAGAACAACATTTAATTGTTACGATTGGTAATATCCTCGCACCCTTTATCAACTTCCTTATTTATTGTGATTTAGATTTGGTTAATTGAACAATTATTGGTTGAATATCTGGGTGACCATATTTGTCTAGGTAACAATGTACATTTAAATTTACGATGAATTTCAGACCCGTCATTTTACCCAATCACTTTGTTTTGGCTTTAACCGGGCAAGGACGCGTATCTAACCCACCTAGACAGCTATTCTTCAGTCCAAAACATATTTGGGATCTTACAGCCATGATGAATTTAAAATGTATCGGTGAACAAGAAAAAATATCCGAAAATTCTAAAAAGTATCATATTATGTAAAAAAAATAAACTAAAAACCGATATGAAGTTCCATGGAGGAACAGACTCACAGTTTACGGATTGGTGTACCAGAATACGACGGGCTCACCACTAAAAGTGTCACAAGTAATCGGAGTTTGACAACGCCTTAATCCGTAACACCTTCTATAATCGAAACATGCCAACCTAGTGAAATCAAAAGTCAGAAGCGAAGAGGTTCGAGGATATATTTAATAAATCTGATCAATCTAAGCTGGCCAACTGTTGTGAGGGATGTGTAGCACGGCGTACTCACTCGCGATCTAGTTTGGAGGCTTGACTGAATGCCTTCAGTTAGGTGTGTTCATTCAAACTAACGAGGTCAGCATCAAATGTCGAAGAATTACAGAGCTATTGATTTTGGGGACTTATTAACCGCCACCTCGTCATCGTGGGATCGCATTTTTCTCGTTGGATAGTCGTCGAATGTTGGAACATGATATACTAGCTATACCATTTCAAATGTATGTGGATAAAACTGGACCTCTATAGTACCATTTATCATGGGTTTTGAACAAGTCATGTTTATAACTGAGGACTGTACTTTGAGACTGCTTATTGTGTGTGGGATTTCGCAATTGTATAGCTATTCAAACGATTTGTGTCTTGCCTTAAGATTCCTGTTTATATGATTAGTTAATAAAACGCGCAAAATATTGATTTAAATATCGTCGTAATTATATGATCAAATTGTTTTCGATCCGACTGGCTGTGCTACTCTACACTTTGTACGTCGCTCCAAGACTCATGTGTCTTGGAGTTAGTTTCGGGATGGAGACGTGTATTGTTGTCCTTAGGTAAGACTAATGTGGGGCTGAAAGTGTGGACATGGTTTTCATGTTTGTCACGAATTTATAAGACGACAATTTGAACCGTTATGTGTCATCTCTAGGACGAATTTTTGCCATTCAACTTCGATCTCTATAAAATATATGTTTTCTATCATTCATTGCGTAATTAGGGTACTACCACACACTGTATCATAACAAAATACTACTCTTTCGCTATATCCGGTTCTCCTAATCTTATATTGGTATCCATACCTACAGATGAAAACGATCCAACTGCAACGTATATTTAACGTTTCTCTATTCAACTCACACCTTTTTAACATTCCGTGAACGTTAACTGAAAATATTGAAAAAGGATTACCAAAATAATTTTCTAAAGAAGGCTGATCTATTTTTCTGTTTTATCATCCGATGTCAATTTGCGATTCTACAGAGTGTATCCAACTGCGATTACAACGTCAAACAACACGAATATTGACAGATTGGGTAGATATGTAGTTGTGGACTATCGAATCATAGAAGCAAAGAGAATAACAAATAGCTTTTCTTCTGTGCTGGTTCATGCCATTATGGATGTCAATGAAAACATTCAACAAGTGCACTAAAAAGCCTGTCTGTAACGTTAATACGACTTACCCAAGCAACCGAATTTTCAAAAGACTCACCAGTTTCAAAACAGTTACGTTAAAACATCCGCGAAAATGCGTTTCAGGCCCCCCAATTTATCCACGCCTGAGATTTTTCGTAAAACAAACACAAGATATAATTGAAATTCACTTTGTTCATCTGACGACAGCATTAAGTCTAATTTAGCATGTTACAAGTTATCTAAGTACAATAGCGGGTTAAACATAAATTGGAAACGTGAGTCTAAGCGATGAGTGTAAGAGAACAACCTCAGTATCACTGTTGGATTTCCTCGTCCCTAATTATAAGGAGCCTGAAACAGCAAAGTGTTCTGTCCCATGAACACTGGTGTGTTGAGGTCATGGCCCTCACCACCAACGCTTGCTGAGCAGTGATTCCACTCTCCATCCTCTTGTTATTTTAGACTCATTACCTTTTCTTTTAGGTAAAATATTACATCTCATACGTTGCTCTATATTTCACGTCCTGTTAGAAAACACTATTTTCATAAACACCATCCTACAAGCCTAACAGGTAGTCACAAATTCTGGACTGAAGTAGGGCATCGGTGCAATGCTCTAAACGACTATAATATATATTGAGTTTCCAAACAAAGCAAAGGGAAAGTGTGATGCAGGACAAATGCTTACCGAAGTAGACGAAAGAGTGTAGGAATATAACAGTTATGAATAAGGTAGTGCGTGATGGAGTAAAATTAGTTATAAATTGACATAATGTTTATGAAAGTAGAAAGCTGTTGAACTCACATTAATTTGGTGCTAATGATAACTTGTGATATCTTAATAGGTTGACAGGTTACGGGCACCATAGATGCAAAAGCACAGGTTGTTTACTAACAACATGGTTTAAAGGCTTGCACAGCGTGTGACAAAGAAAGTTGATTTTAATTTGATTGACGTTCTTGATACCTTTAGTATAAAATCCTGATTTTGAAGGTTATAATTACCATTTTCGGTAAATTTCAAAGTGTCACAGTTTAATGTAGTTTCATCGTTTAGAATTTCGAAAAGTAATGTAAGGTTAACTTTAATTCGTCGCAATCATAATGGATCCAGTTTTGATGCTTCAAATACATATTTATATGATAGGTCAGGCGTGAGAAGTTTTGTTAAATGGCATCGTACTTTCTCAGTATTCTACCGGTCTATGGAACAAAGCGTTTTTGAGGTACTCGTACTAAATTATACCAAAACACAAACTCTGTGCTCAATTTGAACTGTTCTAATTTAAGAAAGAGAACAAATTATATCAAATTACAAAATACCTCAGATGGCACAACCTGTGCTATGCAGTCAAGGGATTGTCTAACGCAAATTAGCGTGCTAAACAACAAAAGAAATGGTCATTATACATGAATTCAATACCTGAGATCCAATGAAAACATACTCAACAAGATGGTATCACATTTCTACCTGCTGGGATCCCAGCAGTCTTTCCGGATAGACAGTCAAAAGTTGACAGTCACATACTGAACCACGCCATGGTCT